CTCCGTGGGCTCAGCGTCAGGAGATCCCGTCTCGGCGTCGTACTGGGCGCTGGAGCCCGGCTGCCTGGGGAGCTCGGGCTTCCCTGCGGGGAGAGGAGGGCGTCAGGCCACCAAGCCCCGGGGCACCGTCCTTTAGCAGCCGCAGCCCCGCTCCAGACCGCCGGGACCACCGAGTCCAGTCTGCGCGTGGATCCCAGTGCAGGCTCAGGCGCTGGCTTGGGTCACGCGTGCACACACATGCACGTGCTTCACAGCACACCACACCTCGGGTACTTGGTCGTCTTCACGTAAGGAAATGTGCACACTGCACCAGGGCACGAGGGGTGCTGAGCCCTGGCCACAGGGGAGCACAGCCGCGGCCAGGGCACTGCCTACGCTACTTCCTGTAATTGCTCTGAAACAGGAAGACGAGGCTGAACTGAGCGGAGGGGTTGCCAGGAAAAAGCTCTGGCGTGCTGGCGGCCTGGCTGTGCCCAGCTGGTCCGGACGAGGCTCTCCGCCCGCTCCCGGTGCCGGGCAAAGGGGCTGCGCATCCAGAAAGCAAGCCCTGCCGCCAGGACAGCCCTGGCCCTGCCGCGGGGCCGCCCAGGGCGCGGGAGGCGGTGGAGGGTCCTGGCGCCGGCCCACAAGGACTCACCGAATTTAGACAGGACGTCCTGCTGCTCCTCTCGGCTGGAAAAGAGGATCTTGGGGTTCAGCCCCCTCATGCTGGAGCTCTCCCAGGGCGGAGCCTCCCGGCTGGGCCTGTCTCGGGGCTCCACCTCCACCTCGAGGCTCACTTGGAACAGATCTGGGTATTTCTCCTGAATGTCACAGGCGTCCAGGTCATACCTGCAGGGGGGCCACACCCCAGTGAAGGGGGCAGGACCCGTTTCACAGCTCACCCCACACCCCCCGGACACGAGCACAGACCAGGCTACACCCCAGTCTGGCCACAGGAGCGCAGTGGGCGCAGTCTGTGCACCAGGCGCGAGCACCTCTCCGAGCAGCACCGGCTTGTCAGGGGAGCGCTGGGCCTGCCCTTGCCCTGGGTCCTGGGTCCAGGCCAGGCCGCCTGAGATACTAAATGTGTTTCCATGGAAATGATCGCCCTACAAACGCCCCAATGGCTGACAGAGGCCCCGCAATCGCCTGCAGTGAGGGCAGCATGGTGGCCTGTTGCTGTGGGCCAGGGAGGCAGCACCCGCCCTGCTGGGAGGGAAAGGGAACAGGCAAGAAGCCAAAGGCTCTGGTCTCCACGCACCACGGGAGGCAGCAGCCAGGGGCCGGGCACAGGGCGCACAGATGCGTCCAGGGCGAGTGGCAGTAGTGACTTCAGTGACCACGGCACCGACCGGCTCTGCCTCTCCAGGGAACCCCAGTGAGTTCACAGACACCCGAGGCCACCCTGACGCTCACGCGCTGAGAAACACCGCAGCCCTGGGCGCAGGCCAGTGCACCCACCACCTGTGCGTCTCCCTTCACGTAGCAGAGCAGTAAATGCACAACAGATACAAGACGGCAGCAGGTTTCCGAGACCCGAGGTGGGGAGGGAGGGCAGCCGCCCCCGCTGTCTGTGGGGCACCACCCAAACCGCCCCCACCCCCGGGCCAAAGGGGCCGAGGAGACACCACACAGGTGCTCAGCGAGGGCGGGGGAGCCACAACAGCTTCTCCACGGAATGAGCCCAGTGACACGCCCTGGGTGGCGCCCACTGC